TGTCAGCAAGCTCTTGAAAAATCAATCAGTTAAAAAGACTGTTGTTCCCTGTGTTCAATTCTTTTTAAAGATTTTTCTTTCTTTTTCTTGACATATTTATTATTTAGCAGCAGTATTGATAATTTCCACTAAGTATAGCTCATAGCTCTTCCAGAAGCATATAGTTTTTCAGTTCAATTATTCCAGTACATGCACACTAGTAATCGAATCAGACTGTTCCTTTCTTTTCATTTGAATGTCAGTAATATTCGTGCTTGACTTGCTATTTGTGATCTTTTCATGTATTGCATTGTTTTTTTACCAGTTCTTCTGTAATTTGGAAAAAGAGCTGCCAGTTGATAGTCATAATAATTTCTTGCATGGATAAAAGAAATCTGACATTAAAAAAGAACATGTTTTTTTTCCTGATGTATTTTTCTCAGGTATCCTAATTGTACATGGCATTTGTTGAATGGTGCAGAACCAGTATTTGAGATGTAGGAGTTATTATGTGGTTGGGTTTGGTTTTTCCCGTCCTCCAAAATTGATTTGAAGGGACAGATTGTGGATGCAACTTTAAAGAATAATACTTGTGTTATGCTTGAAAATGGATATCTATTAACTAGGCAGTTTTGTTTGAAAATGTACCCTACCCTAGACTTCATCCTAAATAGTCTTTAATCTTACAGTGTGTTTTGAAGGATTTATTTTTCTTTTGGTATTGATTACATAGAATCATAGAATCAACCAGGTTGGAAGAGACCTCAAAGATCATCGAGTCCAACCCTACCATCATTACTAGACCATGGCACTAAGTGCCACATCCAGTCTAATTTTGCAAACCTCCAGGGATGGTGAATCCATCACCTCCCTGGGCAGCACATTCCAATGCCTGATCACACTCTCTCTCGCTCTAAAAAAATCTCTTCCTAATGTCCAACCTAACCCTCCCCTGGCAGAGCTTGAGTCTGTGCCCTCTTGTCCTACTGCTAGTTGCCTGAGAGAAGAGCCCAACTCCCACCTGACTACAACCTCCTGTCAGGGAGTTGTAGAGGGTGATAAGGTCTTCCCTGAGCCTCCTCTTCTCCAGGCTAAACAACCCCAGCTCCCTCAGCCTCTCCTCATAGCACTTGTGCTTGAGTCCCTTCACCAGCCTCATTGCTCTTCTCTGGACCTGCTCCAGCACCTCAATATCCTTCCTGAACTGAGGGGCCCAGAACTGCATTGTTTGATTGTTTTGTTTTGTTTCATCAACATCTTGTGTGCAAGGGTTCTAGTTTCTCCAGTTGAGTGCAGTTGTCAGGTTCTTTGTATCTGTCTGAAAGCTCATAATGAGTTTTCATGTAGATTTCTGCCTGCAAGTTTTGGAAGGACTTGGTGAGCGCTCACAGTAGGAATGCACTAGTGTATAGTTTCTCTTGGCTTCTAAGGTCATACCATGAACTGCAGCTGACTGCACTGGCACTGGGATCAGCTTTCAGAGCCCATGGGGCCTGTACTGTTAAGATAAGGAAGGTCACACTGGGAGAAAGTCTGTTAAGACATGGTGTTGGCTTTGAACACACAATGTTCAGAACTGCTTTAGAGAGTGCAGTAGTGGAGCTCCTAACTCTGAAGATTGCTTTCAGGATTGTAGATAGGACGTGATACACAAATCCAAGGGATTTAATAGAGAGGAAGTTACAGAGAGGAGCTGCATCTTCAGCACCTGAATTTCTACATTGTGAAATGTGAGCTCAGTTTGTTTTGTTAGAGTTCCTGATTGAATTACAGGGTGAGAAAGGGCAAGTAAGCTGAAATACTAAGCCTAAAACAACTGCTGATAAACATTGAGAAACTGGAAACACTTTCTTTTTCTTAGACCCTGCCTGTAGCCTCTCGTACCCTGGCAGGCTGAGCTCCAGACACTGATTCAATGACTTTTTGTGGTGCGATTTTCAGTACTGTTGGGTTGAACAAAACCACAGAAAGAACAGTAACACAAAGCATTATTTAGAGGTACAGCTTTCTTGGCTTTGCTGCTGCCTTTGTCAGAAATTCATAGAGAAATTTATTCTTCATAATTGGTAGCAGGAAGACTGGAAACAATATTTCTTATTGTTGAGTCTGTGAATATAATTGTTCTATTGTTGTTTCCTTGACCAAGTGTTTCTGTGGCAAAATGTGTATCATTCCCAGCTCCAGCTCATATATAGCTTTTTGTGATTTTCTTTTCTTCAGTACAGATTTCCCTGCAGGTATTAGTATCAAACTTTTCTTGTTAGAAGAAGTAAGGCTGCTTTATGGTATTTAAGTGTCCCCATCTTAATAGAGGCTCCCTAGAAAATGCATCGTTACTGTGGATGAGGCTGTGTCTGAATTAGCACCTGAGTTATGATTTATTTTTTTAACATATATTTTAGCACATGAGGAGAAAAGTTGTCTGTATTATGAGTGAGCTTATCCTTTCTATATGGAGGGAGGTTACAAGTAGGAAGGTGTGGGATGTGAAGCTGTCTGGATGGGTTTCCTCACAGACAGTGTGTTCCAGCAGCTGCAGTACCCTGACTTGGCTTTACTATCAAACCCCTGAAACAATCCTTTTCTGTGCATGTTAGTAAGGAAGGGAACAGTGAGTGTGGTGACATGTTTGAGTCAGCAGGCACTCACACCTCTTGGGCTTGAGACACTGAGAGCAAGGAGTTGGAAGTCACGGGAATGCAACTGAAACTTTGGTCTTCACGTCCAGTTCTCTGGGCCAGAATAGTTATTTCTGTTTTCATTTCTGCTGGGTAATACTGTTGAAAAGCTTGTTCATGAAAATAAAAACATAATATCTCTTGGATAAGGATGTGTAAAGTCCTTAAAGCTGTTCTTTAGAAAGCAAGCTGTGAATTACAGCTTCTCTTCTGTACTAACTATCCTGACTTAGAACTTTCTCATTGATTCCCATCACCAAGTCTTCTGTATGTGCCATTAAATAAATAAGTAAAAATGGGAAAGCCTGCACTATATTTTCAGTGAAACCTGGTTCTTGTTGAGGGTTTTCTTGTGGATATTGGGGTGAGGTGAAAGCCTCTTTTCTATGGTTTGGGTGTGTGACTGCCTAAGGCTGGAATCGAATCTAGTAACTTCTCAGTGAACTAAGTCAGATCTGTCCTCTAAGGCTAGAAAGAATTTTTGTTTTGTTTTGTTTCGGCACCTGATAACTAGTGCTGTAGAAAATGTGCTTTTGTATTTGGTGTTACATAGGAAATGTGACTTCTGGTCTCTGGATCATGATGTACCTTTTTGGTGTTTTATGGATTCCCTAGTACTACAAATCTTCTGTGTGTCTAGGTGCTTTTTTCCTGTGGTTGCTGGTCTTCTGCATTGTAGGTTTTCATTAGCTGAACAAGCCTGTCACAATTGTGTTGAAAGAATTTGGAAAGGAAGGGTTTAATGAACTGTTCACAGGGGTCTGCTATAGAGACACGTAAAAACTTCTTTTAAAAGCACGTAAGGTTTCGTTTGGGTAAACATAAAGTGAAATATTGCATTGTATTATATCATTTTTCAAAATCTGGTCTTACCTTTTGCAGATATTCTTTGTTAATAAATATAAAGGAAAAAACTCAAAAGACTGATTACCAGACCAAAACCAAGTGGAATCTCAGATTTCTCATGTAACCTGAAGATCGACCTAATGCCTCTTTAACACTGTGAAACTTTCCAAGATGTGTAATTGTGATAAATTAATCAGTTCTGTCTTAGGGTTTCTAGGTATTATAAGCTGTGGGATTTTAAAATAAAACTAAAAATCCTACAACAAACAAACTACTCAACACTGCTACAGAGAGTTAATAAAAATTCTTTCAAAGCTCAGTTTCTCCTCCCATACACACATGCCCTTGAAGAATGTGAAATCAAGGAGTTTCTCTGATAAATCTTCTCACTTCAGAGATTTGAGTACCGATTTCTCTTTCGAAGCTGGAACCGTGTTCAAAGGGAAGCTCCAAAGAGCTTGTGGTGTCCGTGGGTGCAGTTTGCTGCTGATGCAGTGCCCTCTCGTGGGCAGCACCCCGAGCCGAGCCAGGCTTCTCAGCTCCTGTGCTGCCCTGAAATCCATGTGTGGTTATCTGTCCTCTTTCCGGAGGGTGTGCAAATGATGGCATGTTTACTTACTTGGGAAAACGCATTGTGCAATGGTATTCCTGTTTATAAAAGCTTTATGCTACCACCACCCTCTTCAAATGAAATGGATCACTGAGATGTTATGTCTTGTAGCCAGAGTAGATGAATTTTCTGCAAGAGGATTGTAGGTTCTCGGTCTATGTTCTGTGGCACATAGCAGCTGTATGGCGGCACTCAATGCAGTTGTTGACCCTCTTTTCCACTGTTGCATGTACACTAATTACACCCATTGTCTCACTTTGCTTTTTGGATGCTGGGAAAGTGGGGTTTGCACTGTGAGTCATAGAACATCAATGTGACAGTTTTGACAACTGTTTTAATATAAAGCCTTGTAGTTACGCTTATTCAGTGTCAAGTTGAAAGTATAAATTCAAGGCTAACATAAGGAACCTTCTCCATTTTCTTGCAAAAAAAAAACCAAAACAACAAACCCAAACAACCTGACTGGCTTAATCGGGTTTGCTTTCATGTAGGTGGTACTTAACAATAATTTTTAGCTACAGAAATGAACAAACCAAAAAATGCTTTATTTAGCGTTCTGCTCTTTGCCTGCATGTGTGCAGGTAGGGGAGAATGAGAAGGTAAAAGGACAAAAGCTTGCACATTATATTTACAATTCATCAGGGAATTGTATTGGGTGCAGCACTATCCAAATACGGTGGACTGTTCTTGCATCTTAATGGGTACTGAAGTAGTGTATATTGGTGTGTTTTCAAATGATATGTCAGACTGGTATGTATATTTTACTCGAAAATCCGATTTGCTTGCACTTTCTTTTGCAAAATACAATTTGCAAATTTATTTCAAAGGCTATCTCATAATTGTTAATGTCTTCAAATCATTTGCAACATTGCTGTCTTTTCTTTAAGGTTTTGATAAAGGGAAGGACGATGTGTCACAAAGTAGAGAGGATGCAGCATGTTCTATGTCAAAAAGCAAGGTAAGGAAAGCAACCTCTTAGTCTTCACAATGTCAGTGTGAAAAGGAGTTATGTATTTTTAATTAAAGGCAAATATATTTAACTTTTGTTGTAGATGGTCTTGAAGATTGCTTTTCAGATTCAGCAATAGATAAAGATTAAAGGGAATTTATTAATATAGTTCCCAGAATTACGTCAGGTCAAAATCTGTGGTTAAAAGTGGTGAAAATGAAATATGGAGTCTTCTTACTGTCATCTTGGAGTGGGATGTTGCCTTGCCAAAGACTGCAATGGATGAAGGTCAACCCTTGTCATGGAACAGAATCTAAAATCCTTTTAAACTGTAGGTGAAGATGCTGTTCACATGCTGTAGCAAATCTTATAAGAATGTTAAGGAAACTGTTAATTGGAAAAGGTTCAGTTTAATGGCTTAAACTGCCAGAGTAAAACATAGTTAAGTGTAGTCTGTTGTTCTGTCTGGTCAAGGGCTTCTATACCTCAGAACCATTTCATTTAGGCAATGAGTACAAAGCACAGTATGCTCCTTAGAATGTTAGACTAGATATAATTGCTGTGCATGTTTATGCTTTCTGATAGTCTTGATAATAGAAATGGAAAAGGCAGGAGCCAAGCAAATTTGTAATCACTGTGTAGTTGCAAGATGGAAAAGGCTCACTAAGATGTAGTGAAAACTGAAAATGTCCAAAGGGAAGCTGGGAGAGGGACACTGCAGTCACCAAAACTGTAGCATCTTGTGATGGCTAAACTTCAAAAAAGGAAGAAAGCATTAACTATATGACCAACCGAAAGGACTTCTTTTGTAGTGGTGCCAGGCCTTTTCTCTCCAGAGCTGTGTTTTGTTCTGATTATTTACATGACTACTTTGCATGGCATTCTTACTCTGTTCTTTTTCTCAAATAGTAGGCACATGATGAGAGATTTGTGTAAAAAGTCATTGTAGAAGCATAGAGAAAAATCTACTGTAGTTATCTTTTCCTTTCCCTAATCCTCTTAAATTTGTAGGTTACATTTATAGAACCTGTCAGTTTCAGGACATCATATAAGCTGCTCTGATGCAACTGACTTTATTTGTTGGCCCATTGTTCACACACTCTTAAAGTACGTGAGCACTTTGGTCAGCAAAAGTGCCCGTCATGTCAATGCAGTGAATTTTTATTTAGTGATTTTTATATATTTAGAATGTGGAGTTTCAGGAAAAAGAGTATTTTCCAATTGGGTGTCTCATAAAGTAGGCTTCTTTATCTCTGCAAGACATTGAAGATTAAAAAGACGAGGGAAAGACTACATATTGTGGAGGGTGAGGTTGTATATCATTTGGTCCCAGAATGGAGTAGCAAAGTTGAGTTGTTTTTCTTAATTAGGCATCATTACAGGGTAGAGTTTAAAGGCTTTAATTTACCCAGCTGTGTGGTTTTCTATTTTCTGCTAGGATGTCCAGTGTTTTATTACAGAGGCAAATGTGGTAACAGTCACCTAAACAGATTGTTGGGGCACAGCAGGCATGGGCTGCTGTTGGACAGTGAGGCCCTGACGTTGAGCAGAGCTAGCTCCCAGGGGACGCGGGGGAGATGCTTGCTTTTTGCTGCTTTCACACACAGCTCTGCCCATCGTGGTCTGCTGCGAGGAGAGCACTGCGTCGGTAGAGGTGGTCCTGGGCACAGGCACCCCCTGGAGACAAGGGGTTGCACTCGAGGTCTTGACATGTTTTTCTGTGATATTCCGTGTGTCAGTGCCTTAGAAAAACATTAAGAGACATTGAAGGAAAGTGAAGAGACTTAATAGTTTTTCACTGCTTATATGGTGTCATCAGAATTGTGCTGGAGTGAGCAGGTTCCTTTCTGCAGCTGATGCTGCAGGTTTATGGTGTGTAGCTAAGCATTTCAAGCTGTTGGTGTCTTACACGTGACTTGGAATCACAAAACTTTCCGTCTTTTAGCTTTACTGCATCCTAGAGCCTCACTTGTCCAAGACATTGAGGAAGTATATTGTACCATCCATCTTGCTTTCGATCAGAGTATTTATCTTGGTCCAGAAACTTCTAAATAATTTTTGACTTGGAAATCAAGTTAATATGGTCTCTTTTGACTGGACTTATTTTAGACTTTCTTAATCATTTATCTTTGACTATCCAATTTGTTTTTTATCTTCCTTATATTTATTTTTCTTGGTTCTGGTCTTTCCAGGATCTTAAGTCTTTGTGTTCTTTGCTGTTACTTTTGTTTGTGTGTTTCTGCTATCAAAGATGAGACCAGTATTCCTGCCTCTGCTAATACATTTTTTATGTCTGTTTTTGCAATTACTGCGTGTGGAGCTTGATTATACTAGTGGAGGTGAAGTAGCAGCCCTTCTTTCTAAGTGAGAATAGAGAAGCAGTGATGAGACTTCCCCAGAATCTGGTACTGAATGTACCTCTCTGGGAGCTGAAGCACGTTCTCTTAATGTTTTCTTCTAAATTTTTTATCCCATCTGCTTCATGTAGATGTGACACTGAGAAAGTTATTAGCTTAACACTACAGATTACTGATCAGTCTCATAAACCATTGGACAGGTAAGTGTAGACCATTACTCGGTGTCATATTAGTGAGCTTTAAAATGGAGACAATGAAAACATGAATTTTTGTAGCCTGTGTACTTACTGGTTTGGGGCTTTTATATGTATGACTTTTAGATTGCTTTAGCCTTCTGCTAGTGAGCAACTAGAATATTTATGAATGTTTTGCTTAAGTTGCTCCATTATAGCTTGCATAATGAGTTCATTATCTCTTCTTATGTGACAGTGATAAGCATTTTTCCCTCTTCTGTTATTACATTTAAGGTACTGTATTTCCTTTAAATTCTAGAGAGAGGAATTTAATTTCAAGTTGTATGCTTATCTTAAAGCTAAATCTTGAGTATGAAGAACATATCTTAAATACAAAATTAAAATGTTTCCTTCATTTTTCCAAGATGTACATGGAAGTTAAAGAACATTTACTTATAATTCTAATAAATTTAGGCTACTTTTTGTCAGCTATTGTACATATCTTTTTGACAGTAACTTTTGAAGTAGACCCCTGTAAAGTCTTCGCTCTGAATTAAAGGTGTCGAAGTTAAATTGCTTTGTTCTGCTTGTAAATCTTTAATTTATATTTCTTTGGGTTGAGTAGCATGCAAGTTAAGGAGTGCTCAAGTGCACTATTTTTATTATTGCAGTAAGTTTTCTCAATGCTCACTTATTTTTTGACTATCATTTTATAGTATTCCAAAATACAAATTTGGTGAATAGGCTTTGCCCTGTAGTCCAAGATTTGAAATGATGAGTCAGAAACGTTGAACAGCTCAAAGAGAAGTTTTCATAAACTGTTTGTAAATTGAATACACAGATCAGAATGTTACATTGATTTTATTTTTTTTAGATTTTTTTCTGATAAGGCAGAAACTTTGGGTCCATCAGGCTTATGTTTCAGTGCATAAGGAAATACAATTCCTTGCAATTTATCTGAAGTTTGTATATAGTGGATACCTCACTAACTCAGTGTTCTCTGGCCTCCAATGGGAATGACATTGACATGAGAACTCTCTGACGAATTGCATTTTTTTTTTTTTTTTTTTTTTGATTGGGGATTTTTTAAGAGTGCTCTATCGCAAGGTGAATATTTGGTGGCTTGAGTTCCCTTTCAACTAGTAGGCAACAAAAGTAAACTTTGAACTTTAGAAGACCTGGGGAGAGGAAGGGGGAGAAATCACGTGGTGCTGAGGCAGCATATTGTCCTGCATGACAAAGGACTTGGGTGTCATGAGCAAACCTGAGTGTCTATCACCACTGTGAGCTTCTTGAACATGACTTGCAAAGTAACCAGAGTGTGGGATTAGGGAGCAAGGAGCAGAACGAGTGCCACTAGTTACAGTTCTCCTCTGATGATTTATAGAGCACTGAATCCTAGATTGAAGAGGCTGTATTTTCCTTCATGAGTCACAGGGTAAGTGCCTCTATAGCAATCCATCTGGAAGAGCTGTCAAGTTATGAGATGAAGACATTTGGATTCGCATATCATGGGAATGACTCCCGTGTTTAAACACCAAGATTTTCCTAAAACCTTCTCTCTCTGCTAAAATAATGCCTAACTATTCAAGACTGCTCTGTTAAATAACAAGCTAAATGAGCTAAATATTTGCTGTATATAGTTCAGCTGCTTCTGGAGAAATCTCAGATGACTTTCCCATAAAACCCATATGAAAAGATACTCCATAAATAGGTGGTGAACAGCTTGTGTTACAAGTTGTGATTTGTTGGTTTGAGATTTTTTGTGGTTTTGGGTAGTGGGTTTTTTAAGTGGGGCAAACAGTAGAGAAGTAAGTGGAAATGGGAACTTTACAAACATAACTGCACTTGAAACACTTTCTAAAGTTTACCAGCAGCAGTAATATATTCTTGTATCTATCACTGTCATTTATGCATTATGCCTTTTGTGAATTTCAGTCTGAATCCAAGCTTTTCAATGGCTCTGAGAAGGACATCTCTTTATCTTCAAGCAAGCTTACAAAAAAAGAATCTCTCAAGGTGAATTAATTTCCTAGTGACCCCTCATGGACTTTAAATGCATTCAGAGTTTTACCTTATTCTCTAACAATAAGACAAAAATGCCAAGTAGTGATGAAACCTATGGAATATTTTAAGTATTGTGAGAAGTGCTGTTGAGTCTCTTCAAATTTATTATACTGTTAATTGAATATGGGCTTCTATGATGCAGTCTTTAAGATGGCACAAGATTGTAGGATAACTGAGAAGATTATAGGGTAATTCATGTTGGCAGGGACCTTAGGGTATCTACAGGCAATGAAATGACAAATATAATTACTAAAATTACAATTTGAATGCAATACCTGTAGTTTTTCTGCAACCTTCTTCTCCCTGTGTTGTAATCAGACCACTCTACTGTTTGGCTGATACCATGTCAAGAGAAATATAAAATTATTTGACTCTAAAAGAGGGAGATACATTGCTACAATTTTCTGCTGGGGAGGGAACGTAATTGGTGGGTAAAGACTACTGATCAGATAATATACCTGTAAATCTGAATCTACCCTAACTTTGGTTTTGTACTTTACACCAGGAAAGGAAAGGGGGGAGGAGGTTCATTTGGTTGGTTTTTCTCTCCTGTGTTTCTAACAGGAGTTTCAAAGTCCTCAGTTCTATAAGCAAATTGCAGAAGAATCTGAAATTGGCTATGTCATAGCGGCTCTTGAAATAGATCATGAAATAGTTGTTCACACCTTGAGGTCAAATGCTGTGTTTTAAAGCTACTTCTCTGTATCTGTATTGCAAATTGAATTTAGCAGGTTTTTTTCTCAGCTTGTATTGTTCGGTGCCTTTTTGTGCTGATAACTGGCTTATGGCTGTGGCATTGTAAATATATTTTTTTATTATTATTTACAGGTTCAAAAGAAAAATTACAGAGAAGAAAAGAAGAGAGCCACAAAAGAATTGCTTAGCACTATCACAGACCCATCAGTTATTGTTATGGCTGACTGGCTGAAGGTCAGAATCCAAGTGTGAAACCCGAGTTGAAGATGTAGCAGCTGCTTGCTGCTTTCTGACCAGAATAGAAAAAGCTCAATCTTTTACTTGCTGTTAATGTTTTTCTACAGGCACAGCAGCCCCTGAGGTGTCTGTTCTCAAATCCTAAGGGAATAATAGAGGAACCTAGCTCCCACTTAGTGCAGTCACCCTAGTCATATGCATCTTCTGTGTAATGCCATTAACTTTGCCTTTGCTCTTCTTATTTTGTCCTTTTCATTTCGCACTTTGAAGTGAAGTTCTGTTACGTCCATAACATTAGTGAAAATGATTCAGTCAGATGTTTGAATACAGGTTTCTTTGTGTATTTCTTGTAATTTTCCTTTCCTGTCTTAAGAACTAACTGTCCTCCAATACTGGTACAAAAGGTGAAGAATTAATTTCTCAAGACAGCAGTCAGTAGTGCAGTTCATATCTTTGTACATATTCCTTACATTTGTAAATATATCCCTTGGATACGAATAGTACAGTATTGCTGTACTAATAGTGCAAGAAAAAAGATCCTTAACCCGTTTTATTGTTTGTTCTGAACAATAGCTTGTCAGGAAACTGTTTCTCCAGTTTTTGCAAAAATGTCTGTAAACAGGCTAAAACATTGCTCAGAGGCCAAGTTGTCATTCAGTCCTGCAGACACAGAAGTGATTAAAATCCAGAGCTGACAGAACTGATGCAAACATTCTAATCAAATGTGGAGATTCAGAGATTTGAAAGGTTCTATTATTTCACATATAGGTTGAAGCTAACTGGTCTTATAAAAGGTTTTATCTAAGAAATTCAAATATATCTGAGTTAGTTTTTTAATAGCGTGTTTATCATATCAGACATCTGCCCTGTTTTCTGAGGAGCTCTGTTTTCAAAGATTGTGCTGTTTTCATGCTAGTGATAAAATATGGTTCAGATAGGAAAATTCCTTAAGGTTTCAGATGAATTGTCATACTTCCCTTATCTGAATGTGTGTCTACTCATTTATAGAATAAGTATGCATCAAGAGAATAAAAGAGCAATCATTGGAATTGCACCTTTGTATGGTCTTTGATAAACCTTGGTAAACTTTTGATGCAACGGATAAATTTCTCTTTGAAATAAAAGCTAATGAATAATTTTAATTTTGTTAAGGGGGATGTTTTAGTATTGACTTCACCTAACTGTTTATCTTGTAGATTCGTGGTACCTTGAAAAGCTGGACCAAACTGTGGTGTGTACTGAAGCCAGGAGTGTTGCTTATTTACAAAACTCCCAAAAATGGCCAGTGGGTAGGAACAGTGCTCCTGAATGCCTGTGAACTCATCGAGAGGCCATCTAAAAAAGATGGCTTTTGTTTCAAACTTTTTCATCCTTTGGAGCAGTCCATATGGGCTATAAAGGTTAGTCGTGGCATGCATGGTTCTTAAGGGGTGACTAGCATTAACCAGCTCTGAGTAAAGACAACCGTAATGAAAAGCTGAACTGCTTTTCCTGTTACAACTTTAATGGTTTGTTTATTCTGAATATAAGCCTTCCATTTAGTCCTGTTCAGCAGAAAATGTATTTGATTTATGCCGTGCTGTATAAAGAGCTTCAGAAGTGTGGTATGCCAGAAGTGAGGTTAATGCCATCACTGGCAATGATATAAATGGAAGGGGTGTTTAACCTAGCATTTTACATCAGTCCAATCTGAGAAATTAAGGTGGGATTTGCCACAATGAAAGAGTTGTTATATGCATTTCTTGGTGTCCAGCCTTACATTCATGTAATAAAATGTCACCTAGTTCAATTTACTTGTAAGAGTAGAAATACAAATTACTTCCTTATGCAATAGTAGTTTATATTGCAGCTTGTTAGTCACATCTGTTCCTTTTTGGCTACAATTTTGTGAAGATAAATGTTTTCATTCAGTTGTGATGTCTGTTTGCCTTGACATACATGGCATAATATTGTGGGCAGCTCTGATCTATAAGTGTTGAAAAGCACAGTGTGTTCTGCACAATGAAGGTTTATTTCAGTTTCTTGTAAGAATCTTTAATGCTTGCTATTACTCATTGTTTATAATCTGATAAACTATTGTAGTCCTTGTTTTGTGTTTACATTTGGAGAGGGGGTGTGGAAGCACAGCACAAGTGAATATATTTACCTCCTGAAATGACATCTTGCTTTAGATGAAATTACTGTACAATATTAGGACCCTTGTCATAATTAATTATGCCCTCTGCAACATTCATTTTACAATCTCACAATTAATAGCGATCTTATCTTCTAAATCTTAAATTGATATACATGTACTCTCATTTCTGTAGAATATGCTGCATTGATTTTGTTGTCCTTTTTCTTAGACAGGGAAGTCAGTCAGTATAATTCCAGATGCTTGTTGTTATTCTAAATTGTTACCATTATCAGTGTTGCCTAAATTTACCAAACTTAGATCAAATCACTTGTAGTTGCTTTTGAATAATTCTAATTTATTATTGCATAGGAGGACTTTTCACTAATTAGTGGTGATCTCACATTTGCAGAACACAAACTTCATATCCTTTTCCAAAGCTATAGGGTTTGGTGTTAATGTGCTTTATTTATGACATGTATACATACATTGCAAAGTGGCAGCCTGTCTGCAGAAGGTCACAAATCAGTCTTATATTTCTTTATTGCTTGGCAATGAGAAATGGATTTGTTTGTTTTTTTAACTAGATATTTAGAATTTAGAGGACATGCCCTACCAGATTTTTACTTTTTTAAGGTAGGTCAAATTTTGAACCTGAACAAGTTGACATTGTCCATTCTAAATGTGCTGAGAGCTGGAGTGGCGTTTGTTCATTTTGGTATGGCTATTTGCAGTTGAGAATTACTGGACTTAATTAGATAAAGGCCTTGAAGTTTGAAACCACCTTCTGCCTTGTTTACCTAGTCAATCATAATATCCTAGTTACAGATTTATTATCATGAGGCAAACTTGAATAAGTGTAACAGCAATTGACTGATCTACAGAGTAGATTGAACTAGCCTGAAGTCTAAGGCAAAATGAGCCTTGTTTGGTTTGCAGTAAGTGCAGGAAGATGGCATTGCAAGTAACAATGCACCAGAGGTATAAGTACTGCAGGAGATTTTCTCACTTGAACACACTTCCCCTGGTGTGTTGCTCTGGCAGACCACAAATTCTCTTCTGCAGTAGTTTGTGGCCAGTCACTTCACATGCTGCCTTAAGCCTGTTGCTGTGGTCTTTGATGTTCCTCCTGCACTCTGAGGTAGCTGATGCACTGTACCTTGTTTTGTCTTCCTCATGTGCCCAGTCCTGATGCCATTTCAGTTTTCTAAAAGTTATAACTGGAAAAGTTAATGCAAATAATTTTTTCTGAGTAAACTGGGTAACTGCTTATTTGTTTTTATGCTGTCTCTAAAGGAATGTTCATGGCATTTGAGTTTTATTGGCATGAATATTCTGTAGGAAGTAAACATCAAATATTTTAATTTAGTGGAATTTTTTACTTGACCATTACCTTGGAGTAGGTACCTCTGTCAGGAACAGAGACAGTCCAGATAAAATCACCTAGCAAATGGAAACTAATGTGTCTCTTGTACAGAACACTAACATACTGAAAATTGATTATGAAACCACAATGGCTGATATCAAAGAGAAGTATCCACTGTCTTTGGAACTGTAAACAGTTAGAGGAAATCAAGATTCCTGAGCAGTTATTTAAAATAAATCAACCTACTTTAATGTTCACTAAAAACTACTCATTTGGTTTTAATCAATGTTAAATGTTATGTTAAAGCACTTAGGGGAGTATAACTTTCTTGTGTAAAAAAAGGCAAAAACCAGACATTGAAACCACACTTCATCTCTAAATTAGAGCTTTTTGGTACCGAGTGAGTAGTGTACCCGAAAGTGCCCACAATATAAACCTAAGTATAAAGCTAAAGGGCAGATGTCATGAGCAGAAGTCTGTCCTTACTCTGTGTCCTGTGACCCAAGAGTTTCAAGGACTTAGCTGAGGCCTTTGCACAGTGCCAGTGCACCCGTGGTGCTGTGGTCCCCTCTGTGCAGCACCCAGCACCTCTCCCACCCCTACCTGGCACAGCACTGTGCCATGGGTACATGGCTGCTCCCCTCCTCAGGTGTAAGTGAGCCTCTTCCTTGCCTTCCCACCCTCAGGTCAAGGAGTGGTCATGCATGGCATTGTCCCTCCTGGTTCTTGGTACCTGCTAACTCCTAATCCCAGTGTTGCCACTTCACCACAGACTTTCTGTAGGCACACTTTTCTGCTCACTCAGAGGGAGACAGAGGCTTGGAATCTTGTTTCTAGCCCCAAGTTGCTGTTACTGTAAACTGACTATTCAGGAGTTTCTGAACATCATTTACACCAGCACTAGCTTGTCTGTATTGGTATTTAAGTGCCACCAAGACTACTTGTTTACCTGCTTCTCGCCCTCAGAAATGTTCTGGCTGTTTCATTTGCTTGCTTCTAAAACAATCTGCCTTTTTTTGCTTTTGCTCAAAACTTCTGCTGGCTTTCCAATTCCCTCTTCTAAGTCTTGTACTGGCTTTTCATTAGGCTTCTCTGGGAGAAATCAGTGAAGACCAAAATGTGTTAATGTATCAGTTAGGCAGGCTTAACCCAGCTTTCAACAGTAGCTTCAAGTATGTTTATTACAGCCCTCTTTGCCTATAAGTTTTCTTAAAGTTAACCATTGGGAAACTTTTTTTGGAAGGGTCTTTAAAGTGGTTATTTGTTATCTTATTCCAAAATGAAGCTTGACAGAAATGGAAAGGTCTTTTGGACTATTTTTTAATGTGGAATGTGAAGAACTTCATAGTGAAGTGTGTGTGTTTTGGCTGAACTTAGTCTTGGTGTCTGCTGATGCTCTTTATAGAGAGACTTAAGCATCTACAGGTCCATTATGAACCTGAGCATCATCTTGGTTTTTTTCTCATTAAAATGACAAGCCTACAGTTAGGCACCTAAATATTTTGTGGAATTGACTACTGTGTAGGTAGAGATGTTGAAGGGGAAGGAGGGAGGGCAAAAGAATTAGTGGGTCTCAGTAGCAATACATAGTATTTGTGTGGGAGGAGTTATTTCCCTTTTATTAATGATTGACTTATCTGACTTCTGAAGACAGGCAAAAATTGTGCAGTTCTGAAGCATAGGATGCTGCTGAGACACCAAACACATTGTCATATAAAATAAGCATGAAGTAAGTCACTGAATAAGACCTCCCATTTTCTGCAAGTGTTTGGCTTGCACTGGTGTCTCTGTGCTATGACCCCTAGCATCCTCATATGAACTGAGAGGAATCTTTTCTCTCATCAAGAACCAATGAGACTGGATGGGGACAAGACAGTTGCTGTACAAACGTGGGGTCTTCTACTAGGCAGTGTTTGTGGTAAATCAACTCACTTAAACCAGCCCACAGACATGTCTTTTGCTTGTTTTTAAGTCTTACCTCTTCAGCTGAAATATTGAGTGGAAGAGGAATCACTTGTCCCTTGTGCTCCCTCTACACCCATGTGCAGGAGTCCTTGTACAGTGAGGGTGCCTCCCCTATAGTATTCCTTTTGATACTTTCGTTGTCTTGCTGTAAGTAGCATCAGCAGAGCATTTCTAAGTTACTATGCCAAGTCTGATTTACACACACACACACAAAAAGAAAAACAACCCAAAACCCACCAAAAACCTTTTGAATCCCAAAGACCATTCTTTTTAAAGTGGGCTTGAATTGGGACCTATACTTAGAATGAAGCATTTGAAGAAATCCAGTAAAAGAGGGCTGTCCATCTTTCCATTCATGTCTTCATTAGATGTTGCTGAGTGACAGTAAATAGCTCTACAGTGTGTCAGCTTGTATTACATTGAATGATAAACTGTAAAACTGAATTAAAATATTTGATGCTGTTGCTTATTTTTTGTATTTCAAGGGTCCCAAAGGTGAAGCAGTTGGTTCTATAACTCAGCCATTGCCCAGCAGTTACTTGATCATCCGAGCAGCTTCAGAATCAGATGGTAAATAGATACTTCAGTATATTTCAGTAATGACAACAGTTAGTTATTAGAAAGAGATGGTGTCAGTTGTCTTATCATGCGTGTTACAGCACTTTGATTGCAATTTAATTGTTGTTAAGGTTCTCCCTTAATTTAGTGCATTCAGTTGTGTTGGTACTAGTAGTTTTTTGTGGTTATTAAAGGAAAATAATGACCTGAAGGAAATGTCATCGAACTCATTGCAGTTGCCTTGTGTTGACTAGGTAGAGGAGGGG